CTTTTCCCATAAACTGGTCAAAATGCACAACACCACTGTATGCTGGATGAAAGACCCGTGAGCACTCTGATGTAAAGCGGACGTGAAGCACATGGCGGAACATGCGAGAGACGCTCTGGATGAAAGCGCACTTTCACTCTCTGACAGCAGATGGCGCTAAACTGCAGAAATAATACTACTACTAATAAAAATAATGCATTTAAATGCAGCCATTGTGAATGTTAATGCATTAACTAAGGTTAACTAATGAGGTCTTATTGTAAAGTGATACCTATTGGTCTTTATAGTTCTTTTGCACTTTAATCTGTGTAAAACTTTTAACTTTATACATTTTTCTGTATTGCTTTATTGCATTTAAATGTTCAGTTATTTTTGTTATAAGAAAAAGGTTATTAAACCTGTTATACTGTATTATGACAGCACTTTTTTTTTTATACTTAATTTCAATATCGTGATAATACCGTATACCGTAATAAAAGCATTAGCAATTAATCGCAACATGAAAATTTGATACCGGCATAACCCTAGTGTGTACAAACGTGGAGATGCAAAGCCACAGGAATTCATTTTTCCCTAAACACCAACTGCATACTTCAGTTGCAAACTAAACAAAAATCAGACTTTGAGTTCAGTAACCTTGAGCTGGAGTTACTGGTATTTACATACAAATTCTCAAACACACTTAAATTAAAAAAGAAGCAAGTAAGTGAATGCCCTTGAATACTCGGAAACTTACTGTGAGTGTATGTGTGGAATAACAACATGTTTATCCTAAGGCTAGAGTGGCTCACATATACAAGAGGAGCTTTTGTGTGTGCGGTCTGTCTATTCACCACAAATTTGCTCTGGTGACTCATATCATGAGAATGACCTGAGCATTAGTAGTCTGTGGTGTCGTTCTCTCCTATCCACATGTTCCCAGTGCTTTTATCCTAAAGATTTTACAGTGTATGCAAATATGACACACATGGATGTGTGTGTTGCTTGGTGTGGATATATGGTAAAGTCATTTTTAGAGGTCTGTGGTCACTCTGAAGTAGTTTGCTCTGGTTGTGTTTGAGTGAGATATTTTGTTTGAGTTTGAAATGTGGTCCAGTCAGGTTCATTATTGGAGGTATCTGTACAGTGGCGTAGCATCTGGGTATGCAGGTGCATATGGGCCCGGGCAGTGCGGGGGCCCGCCGAGCTGGGGGGAACTTTTAATTGAAACGAGGGAACGAATAGAGCCCTCCATGGGCCTGGCCCTTCAACAGCTTATGAGAATTCTCGGCCCGAGTCCGACTGGATACCGTGACTTTTTTTCTCTCTCTCTTCCCCATTACACAGCTATTAAAATAGTTCAGTTTTGGTTTTTAATGGCAAAGCGGTCATATTTATTTTTGTTTCTTTAAGTTAATTTAGAAATATGTTTGGAACATTTTATGTTTGTTAAATTCAAGTTTTTGTTTTTTAAAGGAACGACCAAGCGGCAGCGGCAGACATTGAGTTGAGCATTATGTTTGATCAATTTAGCCTTCTTAAACCAACACGACTTG